AGCAACAGAGACTGGAATCCCAATCATGGACTTCAGCGTGCTCCATGGGGACCCAGCGATGCAGAATTGGTGAGATATGAGAAAGAAGAAGAATCAAAATGATAACTGGTGTAAATTGGGTCCACTAACTTCAGTGGAGCGATGCAGATTTACACAACTAACGAATCTGGCTCAGTGCGTTCAAAGTAAATTACAAATGTCCCTTCAGCCCTTTGTGTATTTTGCTTAACAACAAAATTACTATCCTCTTGTCGGAGATTGCACATGCTGTGCGAGCTTGTGCGCGTGCTTCGTTTTCCTTCTTATCTGGGCACCGTTGTACGTTCGTATCACTCGGTCTAAAACAAAATATCTCTCTTGATAAACCAGCCAGCCACAAAATTCCCCAGCGTTAGCCTTGATTTCCCAGTTGTGTGGCCACTCTGTTGAAAGTCCATTCCTTGTTTTATTTTGTTCTTATCATAGGAAACCTGTAATTGGGATTGTTACTAGCAGAAACAGATCACATGTTCCATCCAGCTATTTTCATCTCTCCGGCATCTCGCAAAAATAAATAAAGAAAGGCCTGCGAGAGATATAACCGAACATAGAAAAGTAGAGTTAGGTTCGATGTCTGAGTTTTGAGGCATATAGTAAAGGGGAGAAGAAGAAAAAAAATTAAAATAAAATAAAAAATTAAAATAATGATGTTGCACAACTTGTAGAAAACAAAGAAGGGAAAGGGTTAATGTATTAAATGTGCTAAATTACATTAAGAACTTAATTTTATTAAAGTATTATTACTTAAGAAACTTGGCGTCATGTCTTGATTGTTTCCTGCCTCTTCCTGCCTTCACTTTGGGATGGGAGCGATTCAAAGACTTGTTGACTGATCCAGTCAATCTAGCTGTCCATTCAGTGTGGCCTCCATCTAGGGATCCCAGCTTTGGGATTTGAACATAAGAATTGCCAGACTGGATCAGACCCAAGGTCCTTCTAGTCCAGTATTCTGTCTCTTACAGCCCTTTCAAAGTTGTTATAATTATGTCATCTCTGGATATTGAAATCCATATCAATGTCCAATCGCTTTCTGAATCTTGGTATGTTTTTTCCCTTGTCAACGTCCTGTAGCAACGAGTTCCGCAGTCTAAGTGATTTTTTATTGGTTTTGAATTTCCCACCCTTTTGATTTCATTGCATTTGAATTAAGGATTTGGGATTTCCTCTTTGAGCTTTAACTCAATCCCAAAAAACATTCAGTGACTGAAGGTGTCTTCCATGGAATATGTTTTTAGAACCAAAATCCATCAGACTTAGTTACAAACTTGAAGCATGGTGGTGATTGGCCAGGAGGTACCTGAGGCTAGCGGGCTTTTTAATCTAGCAGACAAAGGCAGGACAAGATTCAACAGGTGGAGAATGAAGTAAGAAGAAATCAGAGCGGAAACAAGGTGCACGTTTTTAAACTGTGTGGGTCATTAACCATCAGAGCAGTTTGGAATTCTCCCTCATTTGGGTTGATTTCAATCGAGATGAGATGGTCTTTCTAAAAGCACCCAAGTGACTTAAGAGTCTGTCTCCCTTTTTCAGAAGCCACATTAGGATTTAGAAGTCTAAAGCTCATTGATTTTCAACGACACTTTGACACACTCAAGACCCAGGCCCTCCAAGGTTTTTAAGCGCCTGACTCCCATTGATTTAAGTGGCTTGTTCAAACCTAAAAGTACAAAGAAGGGAGCAAATGCCACAAAAGGGTTAAAAAAAGAAAGAAAGAAAAGAAAACCTTATAGATCGCTCGCACCCAGGAAACGGAACCTTTTTACCCTGCACCTTGGGCAAGTCACCCCATGCTCTGTGCTTCATGCTCTTTGTCAGTCCTGTCTCTTTATGCCTGTTCTACACACCGTTGTTGTCCCAGTATAACTAAGCTGGTTAGGGATGTGATTTTTTTAAATCAGCGTACTTATACGAGTACATAATGTGGACGCAGTTATACAAGGAAAAGGTGCCTTATAGCAGGACAGCTTCCTACCCTACAGCTATACCAACATAAAGTACCTTTCTATCACTATAGCTGTGTTCACACTAGTGAGGCTGTACTGGTTTCACTATACTAGGCTAATTAAAGCAGGGCAAATTTTGTGCGTAGACAAGGCCTTAGGGGCATGTCTACACAGCAAAAAAACACCCTCAGCAGCAAGTCTCAGAGCCTGGGTCAACTCACTCGAGCTTGTGGGGCTCACGCTGTGGGCTAAAAATACCAGTATAGACATCTAGACGCAGGCTGGATCCTGGGCTCTGAAACCTGGCAACAGGAGAGGGTCGTGCAACCCAGTCTCCAGCCCTAGCCCAAATCGCTAGACTGCTCCTTTTAGCCTGAGTTGGCGGAGCTGGGCACCAAGCTGCACTGCCCTGGTTTTCAGGTATTTTTGCGGTGCAGTCTGTATGGTCCAGATCCTCAAAGGTAATGAGCCTTCTAATTTCCACTAAAATCAATGGAAGTCAGGTGTGGCGAGAGCTTTGAGGAGCTGTGTCCAAGCTCTGTGGGAGACTGGCAGCAAGAGAACATGGCAGAGACTGGGGCAAGGTGGGGTGAGATTTTTTACACACTTTCCTAAACTCCTTTTACCATGGGAACTGAACAGTTGCTCTGCCCCTAACCAATTCGGTGCTGCAGCCAGATTCCCACTGACCATGTGACCCAGTCACCTTTCCATGGGGAGGGACACGTCTCCCACCTGCCCCAGCTCCATGCAGTAAGAATGAGTCACCAGTCACAGTGCATTAGAATAACATCACCCTCCCAGTCTCCACCCTGGCAGCGCCAGTGGGCGAAGCAGTTGGGGACTAGGATGACATCACCACTTGGCACTGAGTCACGGTGTAGGCAGATGGTGGCAAGGAAGGTGTGTGTGTGTGGGGGGGGGGGGGGGGGGACAACATTTGGCTGCTCCATCAGCGTGATCAATGCAGGCCGAGTAATTGCAGCCACTTAGTGTGTGGCTGAGGTGCGATTGCCTCTTCCATGCTCCGCTTGGAGGGTTATTTTTGTGTGTGGGCTCAGTGCAGAGTCATGCTAGCTAATAATAATATCCCACCTGGAGACAGTCATCTAAAGCTGGCAGGGCCCCAAAGTGCACCACAAGGCCAAGGAATTGGCTGCTGCACCGGGCATCAAACTGGTGACCTCCAGGGCTGCAAGCATGAGCTGAAGAGCCACAGCTTGAAAGGGGGAGTTGTAATTACGGATATCCGCTGTGGCTCAGCACGGGGGGGGGAAGGGTCCAGATCCTCAAAGGTAATGAGACTTCTAATTTCCACTAAAATCAATGGAAGTCAGGTGTGGCGAGAGCCCGTGGGTTACAATTGCTCCATCTGGCACTGAAATGCTGCTGCTTCTAGGGTGGAGCATGGCGGCTGTTTAAGAGCACACAGTAACGTTGTGCTGGGATTGTTTCACATGATGCTGAAATGCAGCCACCTCGAGGGTGGAACGCACTCACAGTGTAAAAAAAAAAAAAAAAACCCAGCACTCAGCAACACTCACAACAAGTGATGTGGGAACCTGGCTCAAGAGGCTCTGGTGGAAGGTCACTGACCCACTCATTCCCCTCCACCCCACTGGCTCCTCACCCTATGCTGGGCCACAGGGTGGCCCCACGCCCACCACCGAAGCAGATGGAAAGGGACTAGAGCCCAGCATTCCCTCCAGCTGACTTTGGCCTCTGCTGAGCGTTGGCAGGGGGCGAATCTTCCCCCCCCTGGCACCCGCACCACCGCTCCACCACAATCCTGTACTGCAGCCCCCTCTACCTCAGGCGCCCTCTCCCACCACGTGGGGGGGGGTACAGGAACAGGGGCCTGTGCATTTGAGATATGGTGCAATCTTGAATCCTAGCGGCTGCCTATCACACCCACGCGGGGCGGGGGGGGATAAGGGAGCAGTAATAATTGATTGGCGTTTAAATCCACCTGTTGAATGGAAAGGCACCCACTGTCACCCCCTAAAACCAGCGAATAGCACCACCTAGTGGCAGCAAGGGCATCTCGCAATTAGATGCTTCTCTTCCCATTCACCCTCCCTTAGCAGTTGATGGGGCTGACACAAAGGACGGGTGTTCAGAGCCCTTTGTGCATCGGCAGCACACTGCCCCTGGAGCTGAAATGCAGCCAGTTCTGGGGTGCAGCCAAGTTCGCAGCCATTTGGGATGTGCATGGCACACACACATGAATCTGAACGGCAGGTGGGGAAATGAGCCTCCAGGCCACTCCGTGTCACACCATCCCACCTCGCGGGCAGCCTCAGCAGAGGGAGACAGAGGCTTGATTGTGGAGCCTGCACTGGGGGAGACTGCACCAACTCAATGCTTTGCATAAAGCCCCAGCTGCTGGTGACCTGTGATTTACAGCAGAATGGCAGTTTTCCTTTAACCAAATAAAAACATACATTTCCAGCTCTCCTGGCTGAGGAGTAAAGCTTGGAGACATGACTGGAGTATGAGCTAAAGGCTCAGAGACCAGTAGGCAAAAGACAGAGCATCCCAATAATCTTATTTTGTAAATGGATCTCACAATATTTTTGAGGCCAGCCACCTGATTTGTAAATGCTTGGGATCAATCCTATGAACTCCCCCTCTCACTCCTAGCCGGGGTCCCTCCAGGACAGCATGCTTTGCTCCTGGGGGGCAGGGGTTTCTTGCAAGGTGTTGTCCGTATGCCAGGCCCCACAGAGTTTGCGATCTGGCATCCTTCACCCCCACTACGTTCCATTTTAAATAGGAACCTCAACTCCTCCTCCCCCAGATCATTTATGCTGGGGAGTCCATGCCACTGACCCCTAGAGGACAACAGCCTACTACCTCTGCCACTTAGAGTTATCCACTGGAGTAGGCGAGGCTCATGCTTTTAATGTGGAAGGTCCCAGGGTTCTGAGCCCGCTGATGAGCCTGGTGGTGTGTGCTGAAGTCCCACACCCCATGACAGAGAGAGGGCGGCAACAGGGAAAGATGTTAGATATTTTATTTAAACTTTTTTTTTTAAACACACACACATTCAACAAAAACCAAGACACAGTCGAGAGCAGATGTTAAAAGGCTCCATCATATTTACACAGCTTGGGGGGGGCGCCAGGTTCAGAGCTGCACACAATCCAACCACAGCAGACAAAGGAGGGGGAATAAGCCACCACCAATTACCCCCCTTCCTGCTCATCACTGGTTGTGGCCCCAGCAGACAGGCAAATGACCATGCAGACTCAACAGCTCAAACTCCCTTCTCAGCCCAGGACCCTCTGGGACAGCGCACTGAGGAAGTTTGCCCTGAAGTTCCCCATTCTTGGCTCAACCAGGACTCAGTTTCCAAGACTGGATCCAGACAAGGGCATGCAGGGGTTAGCACTGCTTAAACTAACCAGCAGCCCCGGCTTGCCCTTTTCTACACATAGAACTGAGCACAGCTGCAGCTACACCAAAGGCTGAGTGGGGCTAATCTCCGGGTGGGCGAGACCGCACGGGGCAATTTTAGTAGGATCAGTGCTGAAGAGAGCAAAGCTTTGGCTGCGGCAATGAAATGACACCACTTTAAGATTCCAAGCCGGCAGCTACACAGTTTAAAGCAGGGGCGGGGGCGGAAAGAGCATCAAGTTCTTCCTTTATCTCGAGTCCAAGGCTCTGCTCGGACAGCAAAGAATAGAGCCGGTTCTCCACTCCTGGCAGGAAACAGCCCCGCCTCTCGGGGGTGCCCTTGGCTCTCGGCATGTGACGGAGACATAGAGCTGGGTGAAGCCAATGGGAGTCGATGCTCAGACCCTCTGGAAATCCTGCTCTAGCCGGGGACCAAAACAGTCAGACATGGGTGCCCAAAACGGAGGCACCGCAAACCACGAGTCACTCGCCACGTCAGTGGTCAGCCTGCGCCTTCTCTTTGGGAAGCGACAAAAGGCCATGGATTCCGATCCCCTTGATACTGGAGTAAATCCGGAGTTAACGCCGCCAGAACTCAAATCTAACCTGACTCTGGAAGGACCAGAAAACTGTCAGCCAACCTGGGCTGGGCTCTTCGTGTTTCTCATGAGATCAGTGGGGCTCAGCCCCAGGGCTTTCAGCAGAGTCACTCTGGATTAAGACGGGTGTAACCGCACTCTGCTTCCAGCCCACCTCACCGCAGACAGAAGAGCTTGGTGATCCACAATAGACTCTCCCCAGTGTCCCAATCAGACCTGTCTAGCAAGCCTGCCTAGCAGCCACACCTGCAGGGTTGGGCCGTCAGGGCCCTTTGAGTCTTGTGTGAATGCACACACACACACTAGGCCATTAGGGATCTTTAAAGAGGTCTTTTTTTTTTTTTTAAAAAGGAGAGGCAGGGCCAAAGGGAAGATCCCCACAATATGTCTACTCCCATTAGAGTAGGCCCTATATAAACATACATCCAATAGCGTGCGGGAAGGGAGGGGCATGATACCAGAGGAAATGATGATCTCAAATAGATAACACCCATCTCCCCAAGGAAACAGTGGTGGCCTAGTTATGTTTATATAGGAGTTACATTAAGTACAACAGTCCATGGGTTGCGGGAGGGAACAAGAGACAGTGAAACGACAGGATCTTATATAACACATGCTCCGACACCCCGCCCCCCCTCACAGGGAAGCAGCCCCGGTGAGGGACGACAGCAGGGGTCTGCCTGCCTCTGGTGCCTCCCGTCAGCATCATATGTTCTGGCAGCAGGGAGCCTGTTTCCCCTCCTGGTGAGTGGGCAGGACTTTGACAGGGTCAATGGCCGTGCTGGACCCAAACTCCGGCTCCTGCTGCCCGGTCATCTGCCTCTGCGACACGATGCGGTAGATTTCTGCAGGCGGGAGAAAGAGCAACCCCAGGCGGTGAGGGGGAGTTCATGTTCATCCCTTCCCACCCTCCCCCCACAACATGGGCCACGGTTCCCACCCCACGGGAGCCAGGCAGCTGTGGGCCCCGTACCTGCCAGAATGCTGTGGAAGGCCGTCTCCACGTTGGTGGAGTCCAGGGCAGACGTCTCGATGAAGGACAGGCCATTCTTCTCTGCAAGGACAGGAAGCGGAGGGTTCAGACGGATGGACACACCTAGCAGAACTCCCAGGCCACTGGCAGTTCCCTTTACTTGGCCCGACAGAGCCCCCTTTAATCCAGCCCAGGTCCAGATCCCTTCAGGCCCACTCCCATGGCCCTTGCCTCAGCTCCCTCCCCAAACCCCGCACTGCAGTAACCAGCTGCTGGTGTGACAAGCCACCCTGCTGGGGATCAAACCGGGGACTTCCCAAGCCAACAGCAGCATGAGCCAAAACGTCCTAGCAGAGGGTATAACCATTCATCTCCTCCACGGGGCATAAGGGAGGGGAACCTGTGACACCCACTCACCGGGGGGTACCCTGCAATGTGCCCCTCTGCTCGATCCCCCTCTCAATAGACCCCATCCACCCACAGCTGACTCCTTTAACTGGCCTCTCTTAGAGGAACTGGTGCAATGCACAGCCCAGCAGACCCCATTGCTCATTGGCCAGGTCGGGCTGGAGATGGGACCATCCCGCTGGCTCCCCAGCTGGGGTATTCCCTCCACTCCCCCGGCCTCCAGTTCAGGCCAAGAGGTGAATCTAGCTCTGCCTCTGCCCTGGAGCCTGCCCCCCCCCCCAACTGTGGCTGTCCAGAGCCCCCCCCCTCCGAGTGCCCAGTCACTGGAAGGCAGTGCCCTCTGGACGCTCCCTCCATCCATGTCCGCGATGCTGGGCACATCCTTGGGTGAATGAGGTGCCCGCTGCTGATTTACATGGACGGGGGGCGGGGGCGCTGAGCAATCCGCATCCCTCCCCCCATGCCCTTCTCCCGACCTCCTCTGCTAATTCACCTCCATCTGCATTAGAGCAGCCCTGCCCCCTCGTCTGGGCTGTCAGCCCCCTCCAGACAACTGCTCCCCGACCCCCACTCATGCTGAGGAGCAGGGCTGGCCAGGCAGGCCCAGAGGCTGGGGTTTGGGAAAGTCTCTAGGGTGAAATATGGCATGAAAAGCCACAACCCAGACAGGCTGTGCTTCCCACCACGACCCGGGGCCCTCTCAGTGCTGCAGGGCAGCAATGGGGATGGAACTGGGGCCCCCCACACCCAGGCGAGCTGAGGGAGAATCTCCATCACTGGCGAGGACCTATGACTCATGGTTATGCAGCACCAAGGCCACCCAGAAGAGGGCGGTGCCCTGGCTCACTCATGCGCCCCCCCCCCTTCAGCAATATTGAAAAGCAACACAAACCTTGCCAGGATTCCCATGCACACCAGCCAGCTGCTACCCCCCCGAGTATCACCCCCATCATTTAAACCCTGCCCCACTAAACCCCAGCCCTGTCCCTTCCCGGGATGCCAGCCCTGTCTCCCTGCTCTGCATTCGATCCAGTGGGTAAAGCAAAGAGAAACAGGAGGGAACTCCAGCTCTGTTCTCTCTGCAGCCCTGGGGCAGCTCCCGGAGCGGGGTAGCCGTGCCCGTACCTGCAAAGCTCTTGGCCTCGTCGGTGGGCACGGCCCGGAGGTGCCGCAGGTCGCTCTTGTTGCCCACCAGCATGATCACGATGTTGGCGTCGGCGTGGTCCTGCAGCTCCTTCAGCCAGCGCTCAGCGTTCTCGTAGGTCAGGTACTTGGCGATGTCGTAGACCAGGAGGGCACCCACCGCACCCCGGTAATACCTGGGTGGGAGAAAGAGTGGCGGAGTTGTCACGGGCGAGGCAGGAGGCACAGGGGGCCGGAGTGGAGCAGGTCAAGCTGGATCCAGCCCAGACAGGGGCTCATTCCAGCGTCACAGGGGGAGCTGCCGTGCTGGGAGAATAGTGGTAGCCTGGGAGTCAGGAGTCCTGGGTTCTAGTCCCAGCTCTGGGGAGGGTAGTAGTGTCTAGTGGGTAGAGATGGGGGGGACTGGGGACTCCTGGGTTCAATTACCAGCTGTGCCCAAGGTGACATACCAAGCTGTGCCTCAGTGCACAATTAGCCTGTGTAACTCACTGCCACAAGATATCACTGAGGCCTTGTACCAGGCTGCTTTGCCCCTTTAAAGGCCAGCCAGCCCAGTTCAGTTATCACACACAGCTACCAGGGAAGGGAGGACGGGATTAGAAAATGCCAGCAAGTGGCTCAGTTGTGGAGGGAACGGCAGAGGAGACAGGAAGCAGCTGTATTGAAAGGAAGGGAGTGTCTTTTCAGCACAGAGAGTTAAGGGGGGCTGGGAGCTGTGGCCCAAGCAGCAGCAGGTGCTGGCTGTTGTCTGAGACGGCAACCTGGACTATCTGAACCTTCGCTCCGATTCAGCCTGTCAATTTCTATGTTACTGTGTGTGTTAGACAGCGGTCGTGTTCCACCCCAGAAGTGGCTGCACTCTGAAGGGATGCACTGCCTGTGCAACCCAGGCTCTAGGGCAAAATGCTACTACTCACGCTGAAGTGATGGCGCGGTAACGCTCCTGACCCGCTGTGTCCCAGATCTGAGCCTTCACGGTCTTCTTGTCCACCTGGATGCTCCGGGTAGCGAACTCCACCCCGATGGTGCTCTTGCTCTCCAGGTTGAACTCATTGCGGGTGAAGCGCGAGAGGAGGTTGCTCTTCCCTACGCCGGAGTCCCCGATCAGCACCACTGAGAGGCACAAAGTGCAAGGTTAACAATTGGCCTAGGGCACAAGGGTGCTTGCAATCTTCAACTCTCACCTGAGATCGGCTGATGCAGAGAGAGTATTGTCCCCATTCTGCAGCTGGGAAAACCGAGGCACGGAGCAGCAATTTGGAGCACACTCTCAGGGCCTAGTCTACCCTGGCATTGGCCCTGAGCAGCTACACCAATGCAAACCCTTCCTGTAGGTTTTGCACCAGTGCAAAAAGTAGCAGGCAGCAGCTTTGCCTGTCTACACTAGGGGCTCTGGCCACGTGGCTATCCTGCCGGATTAGCACCAAGCGCTCTCCGTCCCTGGCCCAGCAGCGCCAGCTCAGGCGAAAAGATTGAGAAACACTGGACTAGATGACCCCTTGTGGTACCTTCTAACCCTCTGGTTCTATGATTCTATGAAATGTGATCCCAGAGCAGGGGTGGGGGAGAAGCAGCCCCTGTTCTCGGATATTGGAACCAAACAACTTATGGCCATTTAAATAACACCACAGATACTCAACAGGCTTTAAACAGGTCTTAGGAAAATTCCTGCCCCAGAGCTGGAGAGATTGCAAAGGTTTCAATCTTCTGCCTCCTCCTCCCCCCCAATAAGACACCCAAAGCAAGAAGTTAGCACCTGATGCAAATTTTGAGCCAGGGTTTGGGGTGGATGGAATCTGACGGCACACTATAAGCAACAAGAGGAAGGAGGGTCTTGTGGCTAAGGCGCTGGGCTGGGATTTGGGAGACGTGGGTTCCATTCCCACTTTTGCCACGGATTCCCTGTGTGACCTTGGGTGAGTCACCTGGTCTCCCTGGGTCAGGTTCTGATTTATACCACAGAGCAGCGTGAAGGGACCTTACAGCAACTGGCCGTGTACAGTTACTTGCATGGTCACTTCACCCTGATGTGTAACTCCAACATTCTGACCTGGAGCAGCTACCATCCAGTCAGTGGCCTGCATGGAATGAGTTTGCTGGGCCTCAGTTCTTTCCAGACATGCATCAGAAACTGCTCTATCAATGGCATACACAGCCCCTGCCCTGAAGAGCTTACAGTCTAAACAGACAAGACAGATGGGGAAACTGAAGCACACAATAGAACAAGGACTTCCCCGAGGTCAGAGCCTGGACTAGAACCCAGGTCCCCTGAGTCCTAGATGTGTTCTAGCCACTAGGCCACACTGCCTCTTGAGGACAAAGGCCTCTCTTGCCACAGAGAATAGTGGCCTACTGCTGCTGCCAGCTAATGGATTTGCTCCTTTATTTCAATTAGCAGAGAGGCCTGCACGCTTGGTGCTGAATGCCCAGAGGGTGGGTTACAAAAAGCATTTCCTACCAGTCCCAGCTTAGCCCTGTTCCTGGAGAACCCATGCATTAAAGTGCCTCAGTTAAACGAACAGTGGCGCCAGGGGTTTTCTCTCTGTGGTTTCCGTATCAAGTTTGTTCAGTTTATGACTCAGCAGAGAATGATTTTTCCAACCACCGGCTCTGCAAACCCAGTTTGGGAGCAGAGTCACAAAACTGCTCTGTCTCCCCCACAAACCAATGCTCCAAGGCAAAGCGGTGTGTGTGTGTTCGTGTTCATGTGTGTTCATTCAATTAAACCCAAAGGGGGTGAATTCCAAACCGAACAAAGGAAAATACTTTTCTCCACACACACCTACAAGAGTTCTGAGCAGGGTTAAACAAGGATTCGACATTTGTACAGAGGGTTAGACAGGAAGATCCAGAGTTAGAAGATTGAAAGCTTTGGAAAGGACAGATATCTGAGAACTATGAACCAAGTTCTAGCTAAGGGATGGTGGTGGGGGATATCATCAGAAGCAGATTACAGTCATGGCAAAAACTCTTGCACTTCTCTCTGGCACTGGACACAGGACAGTCTCTAAAATGGTTATCTGGCTCCCGTTCTCTGAGCACCTCACAATCTCCAACATATTTCTCCTTACAACCCCCTTGTGAGGCAGGGAAGTGCTATTATCCCCATTGCATTGTATAGATGGGGAAACTGAGGGGCAGAGTGAGAACAAGTGACGTGCCCAGGGTCACACAACTGTGGCAAAGTAGGGAATTGAATGCTGGTCTCCCAAGTCCCAGGCTAACGCCGTAACCACGGGGCCATTCTTCCTCACTGGTCTAATCCACTCTAAATTACTATGTTCCCAAGAAAACCCATTTCGGGCTCCCTTTTATCCCCAGAAGTGCCAAGGTAGGTGACTGCTTGTTTGCCGAGTCAGAAGACCAGACTCCAAGCCTCAGGGAACAGCGAGAAAGTTTCATAAAAATTACTTTTTCTGATTAAAGTCTCTTTTTAAATAAGCCCCAGATAACCAAGTAACACAGGGCCGGGGCGTGGGGAATCGCTTGACTGCAAGTGAACGGCAGCAATCTATGAAACCTACTGTCGTGTGAAATGAGTTGCTGTTATTAGCAAGGTCATTTGGAAGGCACAGAAGCATCATGAATGATTGCAATATTTTTTTAAAGGTAGGACGTAACTGGGAGAGGCTGGACTTTGGAAATCCAGAATCAGAAGTCTCCTGGTGTTAGATGGAGGCCAGGGAGGTGGCTGGTTTCTTGGCATCTCAGGAGTGGGAATTGTACCTGGTGTGACAGCATCAGGCAGCAAAAATACAGACACAGGGGCCTGATTCTTATTCATGTTAAGGCCCCTTTGCACAGCTCTGGCCTTGCTCACTCAACCTGGGGGCCATTCACATCACTGGCAGCATAAAGGGACTTTAAAGTAAGAATCAGACCTCTAGATATCACCACCTAGCTCTCATCCAGCATGCAACGGAGGGCAGTATCACTATCCCCATTATACAGATGGGGAAACTGAGGCACAGCAGGGGTTTGACCTGCCTGTGGTCAACCAGGAGGTCAGTGGTAGAATTGGGAATATAACCCATGGTCTTCTGAATCCCAATCCAACGCTTTATCTACTAGGTCAGGCTGGCTCCCATAAGTAGAAGGAGTCATCTGAATATTTCACACTGCCTACATGGCCTAATGTACAGACCACTGAACTGGAATTCAGAAGACTTCTCTTTCTGTTCTCAGCTCTGCCACCAGCTTGCTGGGTGACCTGGGCAAGTCCCTTCCTCCTGTGGCTTGGGACAGAGCTGGCCAGAAAACAGATTTTCCATCCCGCAAAAAATTTCAAGACTTCGGGGGGGTGAGGGGGGAGGAGGAGTCCTTCCTGATTGAGAAGAAAGAAAGTATCAGAAATGTTTTTGGGCAAAACAAATTTCATTGCTCTTGTGACCCTTCATACTAAAAACATACATTTCAAAATGAACAGTGCTTTTGAAATGACAAATCAAAACTTGCCACGCTGCTAGCGTGACATTTAGACATTTTCAACATGCCTTTTTAAACACAAGTGTCCAGGTTGATCGGATTTTGCCAAAACCTTCTGGTTTTGTTGAAACTGCATTTTCCAAGGGAAAACTGTTTCCAGGAAAGTTTTCCAAGGAGCTGTATCCAGGAAGTGACGAAGCCCGCACGCACACTTCAGAAGAGTGCAGTCACTCCAGAAATGAAGACACTACAGGAATAAACCGGAGTCAGTGAGCTCTAGCAGGCCGCTCTGGGATTTGCCAATCAGCTTGCGTCCACAGGAACGTACCACTTCCCCTTGCTTAACCGCGGGGCTTCCTCCAGTTGCTGGTACTGCTAGGGTAACAGGTGATTCTGCCAAAGGAAGTAATGCTCACGCCTTTCCTCTCTGCCTACTTGAAAGGCCTGAACAGATGGCTCTCTCCCCATGCTACAGGTGGGTCAAGTTGAGGAAAGGAGAGATGACGTGACCGACCTGGGACAGCAGACCCCACTATACATATCCCCGTAAGAGAGACCCTGCCTCTGAGAGCTTACAGTTTAAATAGACAAGGCAAAGTGTGTGTGGGGAAACTGAGGCACAGACGGGGGACATGACTTGCCCAGCATCACCCAGCTGGTCAGTGGCAGAGCCAGGAATCTAATTCTCTCCTCCAGCCTCTCAGGCTATGTCTACACATAGGGCAGCATGCAGAGCACAGGCATGTAGCTACACACCGCAGGGAAAGGCTCTGGCAGGACACTGCGCTGCTAACAATGGCCGTGTCGATGTAGGAGGCACTGCCTGGGTGTGTACAGAGCTCGGGGTTCGAGTGTATACGGCACTCTAGGGTACTCACCCAAGACATCTACATGGCTATTTATCCCCTTGCCAGCTGGGCCTGCAGCGTCCGTACTCGACACGCCAGTATAAGCGTAGACATGCCCTCAGACGCATAGGACTTGGGATCGAGTTGGTCTTCCCATGAATTAGATATTCAGTGTCTTCTGCCAAGATGAATGGCAATGTAGGGTGCTTCCGTGGTTCCCATCACCGGAGCAACTGAGCAAGGGTGCCCCCAGAAATATTTCACGTGGCCCAGGGCTCCCCGCCCCCTTCTCCCAGCCAGCCTCCCCGTGCTTGTAGCCACTCTTGAGGTTGACGTGACGTGTATACGGCTGTAGACGCCATTGCAGGGGAGCACCTGGCACCTGAGCATCCCCTGGGAAGGAGGGAAATCGTTGCCTCCCCCACTGTACAGATCAGAGAGGTTGATTGAGAGATCTCTGGACACCTGAGAGGAGGGTGAGTCTCCTACCACGCATAGCAGCTGCCCTCCAATACAGCGACAACCTCCCACAAGGCAGCACACCTGAAGGATACTGGGATGCCTACCCACAATGCAACATGTTTTGGCCAAGCCGAGCGGCACAAGCAGCCCAGTGTGAACCCCCAAAATAGCTGTGCCGATGGCCAACAAAACTATTCTCCAGTGCAACTGTCTAGTGCAGACCCAGCCTGTGCAACTTGACACACATGGAGTCCACGACACAGCAGGGAGTTGACCCTGTGTCTTCTCAGTGTTCGGCTAGGGTCTTAACCACAAGGCCATCCTTCCTGTCCTCATAAGCCTCTTTTAGCTGCCTCTATAACCATCACTTCCCCCAAA